GTAATTTGGGAGAGTGGAGGAGGGAACTGATGGGTGAACATATTTTTATCACTGGGCAGGACTTTCGGTTTGAGGCCACACATTTATGGTGAGACCAGCTAACATACCTAGTGTTCTTCTCTGGCCTTGTTCAGCCAATCAGCTTTTAGCACAGAGCAGAGAGAGCGCTGGATCAAACTGGGGTTGGGATTTCTCCAGGAAACCAGCAAAGGAGAGAGGGGCCTGTAGAGTTGAAAGTGTGTACAGAGAAGTGGCTATAATGGTGGACCATGTAACACAGGATGGGGAAGGACATCTAAGGTGACGAAGAGGGTGGGGTCAACACATTGGAATTTCTCATGGGGTCAGATAATTTTCATAATGGGTTCTAGTGGGATCAAGCTGGAGGGACAGGTGGCAGATGGAACATCCTTGACTCTTCTCATAACTTCAGCAAATTCTGTAGGATCCACTTTCAAAATAAACCGGGACTCTCCACCAGGGCCACCCTGGTCCCAGCCCCCATCCTGGGTCTCTTGCCAGGATTGATGAAAAGCCAACCAGCTTGCCCCAGCTTCCATCTTGAACCCTCTATGGTCTTATTTCCATATGTTGCCAAGACTAACAGTGCTCAATAGAAAACCAGATCTTGCTGTTCTCCCAGTTCCTCCAGAGCCCCCTCCCTCCCAGGAACAATGGATCCACTGTCCTCACCACGGCTGACTAGGTCCCATGCGATCTGGCTCTTGATGATCTCCCCAAAGTCATCATTGCCTCCCTTCTCCTGTCACTGCCCGCTACTCTGGTCTCCAGCTGTTCCTCCCACAGGATGGCTGTGTCACTGTCTCCAGACTTTGCACTTACTGTCTCTTCTAGAAAGCTCCTCTCCAAGATCTGCATGTGTGGGGTGCTGCACTGCATGTGAGGTCTGCTCTGACGACAGCTCAGAGTTCCCTTGAACACTCACTCTGAAACAGCAGCCCTGTCACTCTGTAACACTCCGGACTACGATTCCATTCCTCTTCACAGCACTCGTCACCCCGGCGTTACACTGTATCTGTCTGCATACGTCATCCCTGCGATGGGAGGGACCCTGTCCTTCCCACTTGACAGCTCCCCTGCACCTCCAACAACGCCTGGCATACTGGAGATGCCGGACAGCATTTATTAAGTGAACGAATGAATAGCCCGTTCACAAAGATCCCAGAGAGCAATCTTACCCACTCCCCACTTTCTGGATGAGAACATTGACGTCCTGAAGGCCCACGTGAAACATCCAAAGCAGCCCAGCAGTGGCAGAGCTGAGGCTGGAATCAGCCGCCCAGCTCCTAGGACGCCAGCACCTCTGAAACCGCCCTCCTCGGCGTGCACACAACCTCTGGTCCGGGTCCTTGGTGTGTCCTGCCTATTGCAAGCTCTCCCACTCTCCCCTTGTCCCAACCGTCCCCATTTCCTGACTGCCCAGGTCAGAAGGGCATCTCTTCCACACATTACTGTACACTTACTGTGACATGCGACATACGAAACGTTGTAGTTCTGGTCAGTTCTCCCACCTGAGAGCTGTAAGCTTCTCAAGGCAAGTACAGGTGTCTTATTAATCTTTACATGTCGCAGCATCTGGCATGTAGCATGCATCCTTAAGAGACACATATTGTACTGACTGCTTCTTCTTCCTGGAAGGTTATTTTCCAAGATGCCTGCATGGCTCCCTCTTTTCATCTCAACCACCTCTTTGCTCAGGAAAACCTAACCTTTTAATTTAAAATTGCAACCTACACTCTGTCTTGTTCTGCTTTACCTTACTGCAGAGCACGTCACTCCTAATATAGCATCACTGCCCATTTACTCCTGGGGTCTCACCATCGAGTCAGAGCACCATCGAGTCAGAGCACCATCAAGAGCGAGGATGTCTGGTTTACTTCACTATTACATCTTCAGCACCTAGATGGTCCCTGGCACACAGCAGGTGCTTAATAAATACTGGTTTAAAAAGGAATTATGATTCTGTGCTTCAAGTAGCTCTGTTTAAGAAGACACTGAGGAGGGATAAGGGACATGTCTGTGTTCCAAGTGACAACCTCTGATGGCTGCACAGCTTCAAATCAACACATCATCATGACGCGGTGAATGGTGGTGGGTCACAAAGATCAATAGACTTCCGATTCGGGATGAGTATTAACTTAGTAGTAAATTGTTCAGTGAACGACTGTTGAGTGAATGAGCCCGCTAGGCAGCTGATCATGCCCTAGGCACTGTGTGGGGTGTCACCTTGACTTGAAGATGCTTGAGTACCTGTTAGGCTGAGGGACCCACAGGAAGAGGTAGAGAGAGCACAAGGACAGATGAAGGTTAATCTCATACCAGTTTCAAGTCCTCTGTCACTGAAAGCAGTGCTGAGTCTTGTTAACCTTATAGAGTTAATAAGAAAAAAAAGTATATTGGCTGGTAGAGAGCATTGTAATTAATCCAATAATTATAAATAAACAAAAAGATGGAGAATGTGCTCCAAGACCATCAAATTGGATATGCAATAGTGGGATGGCAAGTGGGTTTTTTGATGCTCCATGGAACCAAGAAATTGCAAACTTAACACAACATTGAATGATGTAGCCTAACAGAAACAAGCATGAGAGGGAGGGAAGTTAGTTAATATAATGGGATAATTTGTTAGTTGATATTTAATTAATATATAATCGTTCATAATTAATACATTATATAATTTGACATTTTATTCTCAAAAAAAATTCTTAACAGAAACTGTCTTGAGAAGACATACAGACCTAATGACTTAAAAATTTTGAACATAATTCAACTTGGATCTCTATATCTAAGAAAAATAAATTCCCCATAAATATTACTAACAGTATACCCCAAGGATTTCAAAATACTTTCACCCGGGAATACACAGCAGCACGGGAAGGTAAGATCTGCAAGCAGCTATGTGCTTTTGTTAGGGTCCAAATACAGGAAGCCATGAGTGCAGACCCTGTGACAGAGCCTGTAACTCGCTCTCCCACCCAGCACACACCAGCGAAGGCTCCCCCATGCCCCAAGGCCACCATTTACAGAAGGAGCATGTGGCCCCAAGGGGAGCTGTGTCTAGGGTCACCCCTGGCTCCTGCTGTCGGGGACCCAGTGCCACCACACCACCACAGGGACTTCCTGTGCTCACTGGGATGTGTCCCATGTCACGTCACGTCAAGGATGACATTTACACGCACACTCTTTTCCACGTGATCACTGTCTGCCGACTCCTTTCCTCAGGGTAATGATCCGTGAGGGAGAGGGCTGCTTGGAGGGTCCGAGGCAGCGCACAGGAGTAGAAACCAGTCCACAGAGACTGGACTTCCCTCGGGTTTCAGCATCGTGGTAAGTAAACGGCTATGTGAGGATTCAGAAACTGTTTCCGCTTTCCAGAAGATGTTAGGAGGCTGCCTTGGTGACACCGATCTGCCAGCAGGAGACTCTGTGCTCCTGGATACTCTCAACTTGTACAATCATGTGGCACCCAAGCCACCTCTGTCTCACCGGGCCCATTATAAACCCAATTCTCCTCCTCTGAGCACCAGTGAAAAGCGGATGCATATCTGGATACAAAAACCCTTGTGGGTGAGGAAGATGGGGGATGCTGGTCACAGGGTGCAAGCCTCAGTTCTAGGATGAATAAGCTTGGGATCCAGCGCACAGCATGGCGACTTAGTAACTCCGTGCTGTGTCCTAGAAACTTCTAAGTGTCCTTGCCTCTCACACTAGGTATTATGTGAGGCGATGGGTGTGCTAATTAATCTGATTGTGACGATCATTTCACAAAGTGTGAGAATGTCAAATCATCACCCTTTAAATAGATACAATTTTATTTGTCAATTACTTTAATAAAGCTGAAAAAATTTTTCAAATCAAAACGAAATCCTCACTATATAATTCATCCTGATTTTAATTTTCCTTACACCAACAAGAGAAAAATAAGTTTTTAAAGTTGAAGACAGATCAATTTTGAAACAGCTGCTTTTCTTATTATAGTAAGAGACCGTCTTTGTATATTTTAGACTCTCAAAGGACTAACCTACTTCGTGAAAATGCCTCTAAAGAAACAGGAAAGACATTCCATAATAAAACCTGGGTCCAATCTTCATTAGAAGACCAAAAATTTACTGTACTAATTTCCCACTTTTGATCAACTGTTACCTTACTTTTTTGTCTGACATTATTTAAACATTTTAGGAAGGATGATAAATTTTGAATAATGTTCTCCAAACAATAAGGCACTTGTGTATTGACCTAATTCCACTAAAGTTTCTTAATTAAAAATGGTTTCTAAACCAAACCCTGTTCATCAAACTTTAAGTACTTTGTGTCAGTCCACACTACTCAATGAAATGAAAATAAAATTATGTAAGTTAAAATCTCCATACATTTTTATTCTTTCAAGTGCATTTAGTACTGAGGAAATAATCTGTCCTAAGGAGCTTGCGCATATCACAAGAGACGGATGGCAGAAAGGGACGCAAACACGACCCAGCATCATGAGTGGACCAGCCGGGGCTATCATGTTCCGTGAAACCGCTGTCTGTGTTCTGCCCATAGTAAAAACACCGACCACACTGAAACCTGGCTTTGCTCTACTCTTACAGCTTCCTTGTAATCTAACTGGGTTCATATGAAAAAACAAAACAACAGAAATAAGACCTTTCCACCTAAAAGAGAATCTTCAAAATGCACAAATATACTGATTATGTCCCTTTAATGAGTTCTTTGAAACCTGACTTGACCTTTTTATTTTTAGACTAATTGTAAAACTTAGAGAAAAGTTGCAAAGACAGGATTGAGAATCCCTTGTGTACTGGCCACCTAATGTTGACACATTACATGATCATGATACATTCATCAAAACTAAGAAATTAACTTAGGATAATACTACTGACTAAAAACAGACTTTATCAGATTTTACCAGACTTTCCACGTATGTCCTTTCTCTGTTCTGGGACCCAACCCCGATCCCATGTGGAATCCAGATGGCTTACCTCGTGATCTGCTTCTTCATCCTCATCCTGATAACCGTCACACAGTGGGCTGGAGCCAGCTGCAAAGGTGGGCCCCTGGGAGTAATACTGGGAACTTCGGGAGCCATCCTGCCGGAGTTTATCACATTCTGCGGGGGTACGGGCCAGGGAGGGGAGAAGGGCACGAAAAATCAGAGTTTGTCTACTCCTCTTTAATTACCTTTTCTATAAGATTTCAAAACAACAATAATATTAATAATGAAAATGAAGGTGAAAATGACTGAGAATTAGTCCAATCCCAACCACACCCTAGACACCAGTTAAGATACTTTAAACGGATCATCTTATATCTCACATCCCTCTGAGGCAAATTTACAGTAGTTAAAATATTTGCTCTGTAATGTTATGCAAGTAAGCAGCAGACTCAGAATCTGAACCCAGGGTCCTAAGTACTATAATTTTTGACACACAGCAATTACGTAACTCCACATTAAAAAAACAGGCAATTCTCATGCTACGCTCGTTTCCTGGACTTGGCAGCTGGAAGTGACATGAGAAATCACAGATTATAAGGCTCTCATTTTGTTTTTAGTTATCAATTTAACTTTGATGCCAAACAGCCTACAATCACTGTGCAGAACTTTCTCCTCAAGGAGAAGCCATCACACCGATCACTCTTATCAGCTACGGGGGCGAGAAAAGCAAGGAAAGTTCTGCCGGCTCCAGAGCTCCAGGAGCATTTGCTCCGCAGAGGGATTTGCCATGGGTTCCTTTAAATATCCAGCTCGCTAAAGGAGTGCAAAACGTGTGTGGTTTAAGTCTCCTCTTTGCACAGCTTTATAAAACCAGACACCTCCAGGCCAGAACTACAGCAGGGGTCTTCAGGGGCCTTCCTCACACGAGGATCTGAGATCCCTCCCCAAGGAGACAAGCTGGCACTTTACTGGAGGGATGAAAATTCTTCAACGGGGGAATAAAAATACCCTCTCTCTCCTTTGCACCCCACAGTGGGAGTGGATAGGAAAAGTTTCCAATCCAGAACTGCGAATCAGACTTTTAAACATCCCACGGCAACAGTCACGAGGACCTTTCAGGATGCCAAACTAACAAATGCACACGCAATCACAAGACAGCTGAGTACCACCACTTTACTCACTTATGGGCCAAAGACCTCGTGGGCTGGGCTGACCACCACTTTTAATATTGAGCAAAATGGAAAATTAAGAAAATTCTGGAACTTCCAGAGCACAACTTATTTTTTAATGAGGATTTACTGGTATTAACCTAACAGTTTTCAGTGAGAAATATTTTCACATTTTCTCCAATATTTGACAATTTCTCTGCAAAAACAGTACAATAAATCACACAGTCAGCGTCTGTAGGCTCACTCTACAGAGATAATGCTCCACAATCATGATCGGGAGTTTTCAAATGCAGTTCTGTGCAGTTTTTGGATTCTATAAATTTTTGGTTTGATTTTCTTTAACTAATTACTTTAAAGCTAAGATTAAAAAATCCAAGAACTCAATAGTTTTACATGTCATTAACTTGTGCTGTGAAATCAGCTTTTCTGTGGTCCCATAAAAAGGAAGTCTCCTAAGGACTCAGGGTGAACCTCGTGATACAAACCAATAAAAGCTGTAACCACCTGCGGCCACCCAGTAACTCCGTGTTCTCAAACGCCGCCAAACACAAGAGGACACGAGGTGAGAGCCAAAGCCCTTTAGACCAAGTCCTTCTGTGCCTCAGAATCATCTTTTCCCTCACGAATTGACCCTAGAATAAGTCTAAGCTTGAAATGATAAAATCTTATAATGTTGTGTATTGAGTACCACAGAAGATGGTATTTGAAAAAGATTCCTCTGCTGGTTGATAAGGAGGGACTCTGGTTAGATCATCTCTAAAGGTGATATCAGCTCCAAAATTCTTGACAATAATACTAAAAACAGGTAAAATGTCTTGATACACAGTAAATCTTAAAATGACCAAAATATTGCAACATTATTATCCATATGTGAAAAGCATGAAAGTCGGGCAATTATTAGTACTTCCAGCATGTCACTTTTCGAGCCTAGTTCAAAAGACAATGCCTCTTTCTCCACAACGAAGTTTTTCTCACAGAAGTATTTAAACAGTAGTACATCAAATGAAATATGATGCTGGGTCTAAGATTAAATGAGGCAGTATAAATTTATGGCAGATGACCAATATTTTTATCATCAAATTTCTGAAATCTAGTAAACTCATCAATTCCATTATCACTTAGTCCAACACGAGAGGAAATCTAGGAAAATTTCCTCTCGTCAAGTTGCAACAGCGCTCAGTGTCTAAATCAGAGCTTTGTTCATGAAAAACTGCCTTTATTGTCTGTAGGGTGGGATGTAAGTAAGTGAAGCTGCCATGAATAAACGAAGACTTTCAAACATCTGACTGAGGGGGCTGCAGGCTGGCTGTGCCAGCACCTACGGGCTGGAAGCAAGATGCGGAAGGTAACAAAAGACCCACCTTAGTGCACTCTGCTCTGGCACAGAAATTCAGAGTGTGACAAGTTGTCCTCCTCGCAGTGCTGCTGGATAAACACGTCACTGTGCTTGTGTCCTCTGGTTTCCCAACCACAAATCTCCTCCTCCCGCCTCTCATGTCAAACTATTTTCTTTAGCGTGAGAACGATGGACAAACATTTGTTGGTTGACCAAAGTTTTAAATACAGAAGAAAAAAAATAATGTCACAGAACAAGATGGTTATCTAACCACCTCATGAAATTAATTCTGCTTCAGCTTCCAAACCTTCATGCACCAAGCTGCTATTTAGACTTTCTATTTAATATTTTAGATTTGTTAAAAGAGTCTACTACAAGAAGTTTTAAAAACTTATTTTCAAAATAATTTTCTCTATGGAAATCCCTGATGAATTTCCACTTTCTATGTTTTGTTCCTAAACATATTAAATCAGTCACAATGAGCTAGAATATGCAGCAGTTACAAACAGTTCAAAATTGCAGTGGCTTAACAGGACGGGAGATCCTCCTGCACATTGTCCTTGTCTATGCAGAGCTGGCCAGTCACTCAGGGACCTGGCAGAGGGAGGTTTCACCTCGACTTGCCATCACAAAACAGGGCGAGGAGAGGCGGTGCCTTCCACGCTGGCTCCAGGGACTTCTGCCAGGAGCAGTCGGGTTACTTCTGCTCCTCCTTCTTCGGACAAAACAAGCCACATGGCCATACCCAACTTCCAAGGGGGCAAGGAAGGGCAATCCTGCCTCACAAGCAATCACACCTCATAAAACAGCTCCAGTGACTCTTCCAAAGGAGCGGTAACACTGGATCTAAGGTTTTCCAGATTCTTGTCACCCATTCTCCCAATGCTCATTTAACGTTCACTTCCAGTCCTTCCTGAATGAGGGCAAGAGGTCTGTGGGGCATTTGCAACAGCAGTGAAAAGCTACGCTCTGCGTTTTAGTGACAGGAGGTTAACCAAGGAGGGATTCCGCATGGAGCGGCAGCTGAGTCTGGAGTCCAACAGACCAGGCAATACTTGCTCCTGTGAGGCCTGAGTTAGCACTCCAGCCTCCTGAGAAGTCAGACCCCACCCTGCAGAGCTGGGATGCCACTCCTGGGAGGCTGTCTCGAGAATCACTCAGCAAACGTTTTTCAGTGCTCTGCTCTGAGGTGGGAGACCAGGTGAAGGCACCAGAACTTTGCACAGAGCCCTCCACACGGTGGGTGCCCAAGAACTGATTGATCATTGCTGTCAGAATTCCCCACACAAACCACAACTACCTAAACGCTTCCACTTTTAAAAGCCAGTGAGCAATTCCCTAACAGGATTTGCTTGGCGGCACAATTCTTAAAGATTCTACAATTTTACCAGGCCTTCGGCTACTTCTTTACCAAACATTGCAAGGCTATATTTCTTTTCCTAAGTACGTACAGCACTCATCCTGAGTTTCTCTGACAGTCATGGCCTCTCAATCCAGAACAGAGCTAAAATGTTTGAATTGCTCTAATGGCAGAATTTTTGGTTATTACCTAATTAGTCTTACACAACACGAAGCTTTACACTTCGGGGCGTTTTCACACTGGAGGAGTGTCAGACGGGGCCTGGCAAACATATGAGACACTGCAGCTGCCAGAGCAAGGAGAAGGGATCGAGGTCCTTCGAGCTGAAAGTATATGTTATGGGTCGAACCATGTCCTCCAAAAGATATGCTGAAGTCCTAACCCCGGGTACCCGTCACAGTGACCTTATTCGGGAACAGATCTTGTCAGGTGTGATCATGTTCTGATGAGGTTATGAGGGTGGCCCTAATCCAACGGCTGCTGTCCTCATGAGCAGAGAAAAGGGAGACACTGGACCACGCGGAGACACAGACACACAGGCAGAGGGGAGACGGCCACGTGACAGCGGACGCAGACTGAGTGGTGCCGCCCCAGGCCAGCGAGCACCTGGCATCACAGAAGCTGGGGGATACGAGGGGGTTTCTCCCTGAGACGTTGGAGGGAATGGGGCCCGCCGGACACCTTATCTTGGACCTCTGGCCTCCAGAACTAGGAGACAATACATTCCTGTTGGTTTGAGACACCCAGTTGGTGGCACTTGGTCACAGCAGCCCTGTGGATGCACAGCCACCAGGGGACGCTATGATGTGGAGGAGAGTCACAGGATCTTCCAGGAAACGGGAGGAGCTGCCCCTTAGCAGGAACTTGGGGCACTGAGACTGTGGCAGGAACTGCACATCGGGGGACGCCCCTGGGACCCCAGAAGAGCTGAGCTGCCCTGGGGAAGAAACTACTGTCCTGATCCTCAGGGACCAGCCTCAAAGGTCCCAAGGACAGTGACCCTTTGTGGAGGGAGAGGCAAGATGTGGTAACTCAGCCGGCATAACAGAAACCACTGCCTGTTAATAACATCAACTCTGACTGAGGCTCCCAGGGACAGGCACTGTTCTAAGAAGTTTTCTTACAGAATCTACTCTGCACAGCAACCCTAGGAGCTGGGGATTCAATTGTCCACATCTTACACATGAAAACCTGAGAAGCAAAAGGGAACTTGTCACAGGCAGCGGAGGCAACATCGGCCCCGGGGCGCTCAGCCTGAGAGTGAGCACCTGCAGACAGAGCTTATGGTGTGATACCACCCCCTCCACAT